TACAATATCACTAGCATGGATAACACATTTTTTGTCAACAGTTTTAATGAAAAAAACAACAACAAATTTACAGAAAATGGAACCATGTAGTGTAGATATATTATACATAGCATTTCTAGTATGGTTATCACATATTTTCTTTTCAGTACTTTTAATGATAACAAAATGATAGAATCTACTAGATATGTTATGTACAACATCACTAACATGAATATTACATACTTTTTATCAACAGTTTTAATGAAAACAAAACAAAATGACAGTTAAAAGTGCATTTAAGAATCATATTGCAAATATATCCAATGCTTTTAAGACAATAACATCAATAATTATGATTTAAAACTAATACTTGTCACTGTACACAGCACCTTAAACTATGACCATATTATATATTTATACCTTAACACACAAAGGTAACTTAACAGCATTCCAGGTATGCTCTTTGATATGAATGTTTCCATAAAAAAGCCTTGTCAACCACTTTTGACAACAAGGATGGGCTAAAAACGTATGATTCTTGCCTTCAGCTGCAAGCTCCACTGCAGTTTTGTATGACCAGTCAGGGCTTTCTTGACTCAGAACATCAAACGATCGGCAGCTTGCATCTTTATAGCTTATGTTAAGTATTCTAGTTGCCATTTCAGAAAATTTACTGACAAAAAATTATAGAGGAAGTAATTACATTGCATTATGCTGAACTTTCTACTACTAAATATTGTTTAAATGAATCTCAAAACGAAATAAAAAGCCTTAAAAATACATAAAAGATCATGATGACAGAAGAATATTAGACATAAAATGTTTTGTAATCTATAAATATTCTTATCAATATAGACACATTACATAAAACTTAGAACCTGCACTACAGTTATACCGTTTGCAACTAAACCAGTCCACAGGTCTTTGTATATCAAGTTGAAGAAACAGACTTTATTATAAATTTTTCAAACTCCCATTAGCCTTATTTCTATTTAAAACAGATCTAGATAATAGGCAACTTAGCAAAATTAAAATTTTGTTTTATAACTATATTTTCCTAATATCTACACATTGCTAGCAATGTCAAATGTTTAGTACGGTTAAATACATCTACAAAATTTGCTTAAAAATACTTTCATTGAGTCACATACACATGTCAAAGAATTAGGCATTCACAATGTACAAATGTTCATATATGTTTTGATGTAAAATAACTTATACAGTCAATATTCATTATCATTTTTAAACCATAGAAAGCACTCATAATATACAACAGTCCTTAAGTGTGAACTATGTATGTGAAGAACCATAGAACGCATTTGTTGTATAAAGCAGTCCTTCAGTGTGAACTATGTATATGAAGAACCATAGAAAGCACTGGTAATACACGTATTACCAGTGCTTTCTATGGTTCTTCACATACATAATTCACACTTAACGACTGCTGTGTATTACCAGTGCTTTCTATGGTTCTTCACATACATAGTTCACACTGAAGGACTGCTTTATACAACAAATGCGTTCTATGGTTCTTTACATACATAATTCACGCTTAACGACTGCTGTGTATTATGAGTACTTTCTATGGTTCATACATAGTTCACACTGAAGGACTACTGTGTGAAGAACCATAGAAAGCACTGGTAATACACAGCAGTCGTTAAGTGTGAATTGTGTATATGGAGACAACTAATACTGAGGTAGGGAATCATTTCTAGTTATTTAAATTCCAAAAGGAAGTACAAAATCTTTAATTATCTCAAACTTTTTAGATAATTAATTTCATGACTGTTATAAAATTCCTTAAAAATCTAATATGATACTCAGACACAGTTAAACAACAGAATTTAAAACAGAAGAATGAAAAGGTGGACATTCAACATTGAGAATGAAGTAATGTTTCCTTTGTTATACTACATCATATCAATAACTTACCAAAGTAAACACAACTGAAAATTACAAACATGGCAATGGACACTTAAAAGAAAACAAGAATCTAAATATATATATATATAAAACTGAGCACCTGTCCTGAACATAATCAATTACTAGTTTTGCAGTTTTTCAAAATTCAATTTGTGCAAAGAAAACAAAATCAAATAAGGTTAACCAAAGTGAAGTCAACTGAAATAAACATTTCAAAACCCGATTTTAAAATGGCATTATACATCAAAAAAGAAAATTATGTTAAAAATGATATTAATATTATGACACACAATATGTTTGTTTTAAAATAACATTTTTCATTTCGTGATAAAAAAAACTTTAAAGAGTAACTTTTTACCGTTTGGTTCTCATAATCTTTAACTTGTAAGTTGATTCTGAAATATAATTTGTCAATTTACTACAAATGTTGGAAATAACAAGAGCCAAATGGATAGGTTGGTCCGAATTCCGCCATAGGACTTCTGCTAGTACTGTTCTGTTAGCGAAGATTGCCCACATTGTCATAAGTGTGAGCGCTTTCCTTTCAGCTGTGGCAGGACTACCGACATACATGCCTGCTGCATTCAGGGAAAGTCTCTGAGAAGAAACAAACTTGGAAAAACCAGTTGTGGCTTGAATAAGTTTGTTCAAGTCTCCTTCAAGGAAGTTTTGTCCTCTCTTTGACAGCTAGAAAAAAAAAAATAGAATAGAGGATACAGCTCATATCTTATGGAGGAAATTCTTTTGGGCATTACAGTTTCACAGAGTTACATTCAAATTTTAATCAAACACTTTTATTATCGATTTATGTCAATAAAATTAGCATCAGAATGTAGTTTATAATTGACATTTTCAAAATTATCTAGGTTTTAATCTCTTAATTTCAAAAGTAAATATTTCAAAAAATTCTCAATTCATGCATGCGAACTCTCTCAATTCTCCTCTTTTAGTTTGTATAAGTTCAATAGTATATGTACTGTACACTGTGTATATTAGGCATACACAACCTCTAAGTAATTCTAAGTTACAATGTACATCCTAACTTCTCTATTTATTGAGATATCAATAAATTTTCCTTCACTTTCAAGACAGTTTCTTAATACTATGTCACCTTATTTACTCTACATGTTTATAACCAATAGAAAAGGCTTACTTTGAACTTAGGCTTGCAATGGTCCTTTAGACTAGAGGTCTTGATTGTGTAACATTGTATATAGTAAGCAATGTTTATGCTCAAAGCATCTAATAATTTTTTTAATCTAGTTATATCTTAGTCAAAAGACATTAAATTATAGTTGTATTTTGACATTATATTTTAATGAATTCTTTATTATTTTCACATATTTGAAAAGTGAGCAATTTTGTTTTGTGTGTGAAAGAAATCACAGAAAATTCTAACAAGGCCTAGCCCACTAGGCATCAAGTTCAGAGCTTTACACATGCAGCAGGCAGGTGTATGGGAATCTGCTAATGTCTTCCCAGTGTGATGGGTCACTTTTCAGAGATAAATAAACTGTAATTCTGCACTCAGAGCTAGGATTAACCTTTTTTTCTCTAAATTTATTGTTAAAAAATTAATGTACATTTAAAATATAGATTTTAGAATATGAATAATACATACCTACTAAAATATAATGTCAAAAAAATTATAATTTAAATGGCTTTCTAACTAAACTATAAGTAGATTGAAAAAATCATTAATACAATGAACATCAACTTCACTTACACACAAACACACACACACACGTCAGTTACTTCTGCTGGACTAACACCTATCGAAGTGAAAGTTCAAAAGGACAGTTGTACACATAAAATAAGCTCATTCTACTGATTATAAACATGTATGTCAAATAAGATCATGTGTTTGTTAAAACTGTCTTGAAACTTAAGGATAGATGAGCAGGGCTTCTGTCGTGGGTTGTCAAAAGTTTATTGATATATCAGCAAATGGTGTATGTTTCTTTGTTTGGGACATTGTATTCAAACATTAGGTAACCAAAGTTTCAATGACATAAGGAGTTTCTTAGCTTTGAAATTAATATTTAAATATTTTCACAGCTCAGTAATAAAAGACAACAAAGCCAAGCAAATCCAACTACCAATGCTCAAGTGGCTTTTCAAAGCACATCACCCTTAACATATCAAAGTTACATATATACATATATTTAGAAGTTTCCTTTGGTATAAAATTCACTCTCATCTTTGCTCAAAAAATCAAATCATCAAGTCTATCGATCTTCATTTTTTATTTTTCCACATTTTTTTTACAACAAAATTACTTTTACTTCTCACCAAATAGACATAATTTGTTAATATGAGGAATAAAACCAAAAATCTCTCCAATATATTTATGTATGGCATTTATATAGGTTACATATGAACATAGAATTAAAATATCTTCAGAAAAATCGAAGCACAATTTCTTTTGTACTAGTACATTTGACAAGAACATGGCTTTAAATAGCTTCAGTCATAATTGGTTTAGTCATTAACGTATATGTGTGTTTATTATTTGGTTGAAACAGACTTCTCAAGCCTGCATAAACTAAGAAGTTAGACCTACGTTATCAGTACTTCTGGTGATAATCACATTTTAATCATGTAGATTGTTTTCAAAGAAATATATCTATATGCAAGTTAGTAGTGTTAACATGTTATTAAGGGTTCCCTTTCAAAAGTACTTAACAAGATATCACATTCTTACAAATTTTCTTACAGATTTATTTTACATGAGAGTTGAAACTGAAACAGATGGTTACCTCATAATATGACCGAAACTGTCTCACAAACCTTTCTTCATTGAGTTTTCAATAAGATAATAGCATCTCAACTGCACATAATAATTGATATACTCTGGTATTAAGTAAAAGGCCTCATCAGCAGTAGTGTGAAGTGCATGAGGTATGGAGTAAAAATGCTATTAACACTTTCCCAAACTTACATACAGATCCTTCCTTATTCTTACCATTCCATAGCCAAGAACTCCTTCCCAGCAAACAGTCTGAAAGAACTCCTGGTTTTGTACTCGAAGAAACATGTTTTTCAGCTTTTTGGGTGTCAAGTACTTGTGAATTTGAAAGCCTTCATTTAGGAAGAGACTTACAAACCTTTCTCGGTCTGAACGAAACAAAGCCTGTTCAAATAGTTCTTTGGAAATCTGAAACAAACAATTTGGTCTACAGTTTACAGATGAACTAATATTAAAACAAGCATAAACTTCAATTTATATGATAACTAAAGACAAAAGTAAATATGGCGTATTTTCATTTACATCAATTCTTACATTAACAGTTAGTTTGTATACACACATATCATCAAAAAACATTCATATTTTTCTCAATAGTGCACTATTTTAATAATTTCGTTGTATCTTTACATGTTTTCTGTTTTAAATTTTTTAATCTACATTATTTCTTAACATCAGCCATTTTATATTACTTTATAACTGTGGTGAGTACAAATACCAACTGTTCTGACTGACTACACAATGCATATATCAACAGTGTGAGCATGTAATTTCTTTAAACTTAAAGCTGTTATTCAAAACTTAATTGACAGGATACAGTTAAAGTAAAGGTAATGGTCTACCTATCTGACTATGGAGCTCTAATTGAGGAATTAAATATTTATTTTGGTTGATAAGCCTATGATATCATCTACCTTCAGTGTTAATACGTTGATGTTTCAGAAAGTTTGTTGTCTGTTATTAAAAATACTGTAACTTTTCTCAATTATTTCACAGCCATATATAAAACGTAAATTAATAATGGGTATTACGGACAGCTTGTACTAAGCTAATCGACACTAGACTAGTGGTGTTCAAACCCACGGTAACAATACAAGAATGAAAACCTACACATTACAGTTCCTTCTTCCACAAGTGATGGGGTGCTTGATTAGACTGTTGCTCTGCACAATACACTGAATTCATTGTTGTCACCATACCTTTGACATGCTTTCAAAAGGCCATCAAATGTGCATGAATAACAAAAGACAAAGACCTGTTTGAGCAACTAAGAGGCAAAAAAGTCAATGGAATGTATATCATGTTTGTACTCATATCTTGAAGAGAAACTAACGGGTTGACTTGGATGTTTTGTCCGTCAGTTCCATATCTCATTGGTATCCAATCTGTATAAACATAGCATTTCCTTCCAATGTAATACTGTCAGCGTATTAGCCTTGAAAGCATATACATATTTCACTCCGATATGTTTTCTCAAGTCTCCAAGTATTTTACTTTAACCTGTAGTCGCTATAGAAAATAAAACTATTACAATAGATCTCTATATTACTGGCTTTTATAGCTTTTGACAGATGGCCTTCCATTTGGTATTATGCTTTGAGAGAAGTTTGTGAACTTGGCTCTTGTATCACTTTTATAACCATGACAGACATATGAATTATATAATTCAGAGTTCTAAGAAATGTCCTTTATGTAATTAAGCTAAACGAACCACTGTGTTCTTAGGTTACTTACAACGACAAACTGTTTAATCTTCTCCACTTCCTCCAATATGACTTGTAGCCAGTTGTGGTGTAGCCTATTTTTCCCTAACAGAACCATGCCTTTCCTTGTTATATATTATAACCATGCACTATCTTTAGTATCAATATACTATAAGGATTAGAAATAGTTGTAATTAAATATCCATTGATTAGGACTTGAACCAGGACCCCAGACTCTTACCAACTGAGCTCTCAGGACACAAGTTATAATCAGATAATCCCCATCTTTTATCATTACAATGTAAAAAGCATATTAATTTCTGTACTTAACAAACTGTTACATTTATTTTCTTACAAAGTTTCAATGTCAACATGAATGGGGATGATCGCCCTCAGCTCCAAAACTTTGTGTTAAATGCACTTTTGTAGCTTTAAAATCATTTTAGTATATATATGTATATGTATCATGAGATATAAACATAAACAATACAATTCCATGTAATTTTAGATAGAGTATTAAAAATATCCTGTTTTTCAATTTTGTAATCTGTACATTGACTTAAGTTGTTGTACTTCTAAACATCACAGAAGATTCATATAAATTCCAACTGCATTTATTAGATTTACAGAGATAATGTTACAGACAATTGATGGAAAAAAAAATTGAATTATTTTGATACCTTGAATTTAGTTGTAAGATCTTTTCTGAACACTTCATTGAGTGCTACGTTGGGAGAATTCCAATCAATACTGAGATAGAGGTTTTTCTCCATCTGGTTATACCATTTTATAGCATCAGGCTTCTGAGCTGTACAGAATTAAGCAAAATAGGTAAATACACAAATGTGTGTTATTTCTTATTATTTTTTAGTACTAATTAGAGTATTTAACTTGTATTAAGTCAAATTATCTCCAGAAAACCCGTATCTCTGTATGCTGCTTTCAAACAACAGTAGCTGCTAAAACTTGTGAAAATAATCATACAAGTTCTTTCTGGAGATAAAGGTAATATGATTTTAAAAACCTTTATTTTTTAACACTTTAGTATACATTTATCAGTCTTATTCTTGATTAAATATATAATTTTAAAATTTAAAGATATTAAAGGAAAGTGTTATTACACAGATTCACAATGACTAACCATCCGAGTGAACACTAAATTAAACTCTTCAAGTGTAACTAATCGTCATAAAATGTTTCAGTAAGAAACGAGGTCTAAAAATTTACAGTCCTTACTTACTTACTGTTTCAAACTTGTTACCAGGTGATCACAAATCAATTAATACTAACAGGTGTACACTTCTACTGTGGTATTATAATCTACCTTTTAAAATATTATGTTGAAACAATTAATTACAACAAAACATTTTGTAATGTCTTGTTCAGGGATATGAAAATCTACCAGCCTAATGCCTGGGGACCAGCAAATTTTAAGCTTGGGCTACAGTAAATTCCATATATATACTAGCCCAGGGTTAGTGTGATTCTGCTTACAATGTATGCATGTGTGTAAAATGAAACTCTATTCTATATTTAATTATCAAAGCTAACAGAAATGCCACTCTATGGGCAGCTGTTTGTGCTAGTAATTTACTAATCATAGTGTTTGTAGCTAATTGAAAAACATTTATAAAAAAGTGAACATTTTTCAAAATAGGATTTTTTTTCTGGGAAGTACTGCATAGAAAAAGTGTTTGGATTGTGCTCTTTAGTCATACACAACTCACTGCATTAAAATGATTCAATGTATAGAGCTCAAAATTTTCATACATTTTACTGATATAAACTGTAATGTTTTTATATATTAATAAGTGCTACTTTTTATTGAAAATATAACAGTTTTTTTAAGAACTCCAGTTTCTCAGTACTATATTTAAAAATTACATCAATAAATATATAATCAAATCCTCATGTACAGTCCTAGTGAAAGTTGTGTTCTTGTTGTGAGGAGAGTAATTTTATTTAAAATTGTGTTCTATTGTAAAGAAATGGTTGTCGTACATACCACAGTTATTTTTCTAATTGTCTGAATCTTGAATAACCAAAGTGTGAATTTTTTTATGGATTTCTGTTTGTGATACCATTCAACAGGAGTTTTGGTTACATACATAGATATTGTATTTATCTACACAAAAATGCTGCCTTCTGTTGTTCTTTTTCTCAAATATCTAGTGTCACTGAAATTTTTGTAAGATTGGTAAACTGTTTATTGATAATAAGTTAATCTATCAACCATAATTATGATATACAAACACAAAGACATGACTCAATAAACGACTGGTAAATTAATGCCCAATTATTTAGTTTTGTACAAATCTACATAATTATTTTTTGTTAAATTAGAATAGGTTTTTTTCAGTGCAAAGTTTTAGTGATATTAGATGAAACATCTGTGTTTGGGTGAAAAATCTCATGTCACCCACTCAAAACTCTGGTTTGGAATAGCACACAACTATGTGGTTGTTTCAATTTTGTTGCTTATGTAGACTGATTAACCTGCATAGATATTTTACTGCTATAACATTAAATAATATTATTTTCAATATGTCATAAATACCAGTCTATATCACGTATGTAGACTGGTTAACCTACCCATATGTTTCACGTCTGTGTCATACATGTTGTAATTAATGATGTCATTTTTAGTTTTGTAATATTCCAGAAGTTACTGTCACGAATACAGTCAAGTGTACTAATTTTGTCATTATAATGAAAAAAGTAAATAATGGAGTTTGTACATTTCCCTACCACTTAAAGTTAGTACATAAAAGATAATCGTTGTACCAATTACACAGCTCACGTGAAGACTATAGTAAAATCTTAAAACCATTTCCCCACAAATTTTTTCTTTATGGTTTTTGTCAGTGTACTAATTTTGTCATTATAATGAAAAAAGTAAATAATGGAGTTTGTACATTTCCCTACCACTTAAAGCTAGTACATAAAAGATAATCGTTGTACCAATTACACAGCTCACGTGAAGACTATAGTAAAGTCCTAAAACCATTTCCCCACAAATTTTTTCTTTATGGTTTTTGTTATGTCTGAATTTAACTTCTAGTCCTACTCTCAAAAGTATCTGCTAACAAAATTGAATCTTGAAATAAAAAATATCTTGATCCCATTACCGTGATTGCATACGTATAGTTTATTACTGTTACAATTCCTAAAAGTAGCTTTAACTGGGTAATATTAATATTATTACATTACTTAGAGTTAAAATTGTTTACGTACTTTCCATTGCCATTGTTATATACATACATAATAGAAATTAGGTTCGATACTGTTTAAAAATGCCTAGTTATTTTTCAAAAAGATTTTGTTAACACAAACTGAAAAAACTTGGCAAAATTTCAAAATACAGAGCTGAAACAAGATATAATTTTAAACCTAACTATTATAAATTATTTGTAACTATAATAACATTCTAATAATTACTTCTAAACAAAACCAATAGAATACTGTATTTGCACCCAGTGAAGTAAGATTTAGATCTTTTGGCATTTCATTTCTAGCAAATGTCAACTTTTAACTAAAACATTGAGAAGAGACTGTTTAATTAACAACATATCTTGTTAATGTGAGTTCTTTGAAAGAGTTTTACCTTATTTTACTAGAAAATGACAAGAGTAAACTTACACTGAAAGAGAGCTTTGAGAATGTATTCATCCAGATTCGTCAGGTCACATAAGTGACTATGAGTATTTAAGATCATCAGATAGGTTTGTTGTCCCTAGAAATAGTAACTCTACATATATATATATACAAATTTTGTGCTTGAAGTTACTAATCAGATACTAAAAATAATACTGGAACATATCATTACGCATTTTTCTCTAATACAATACATTAATACAACAAACACATTTTAACTTGAACCTCATGATTGGCTACATTACTCATGTAATAAATATTTGGTTTGTCTTTAACGAAAATACTTTCATCCACTTCCAGTATCCATGAGTTATCAAACTAATTCACAGTTTATTAGCTTTAGCTACACAAAATAAAAATAACATTAGAACAGCGATAAGCCCTGAACTTAATCATTAGATTGTATATATATAGTTTTATCTCTTCCTTTTCAATGTGAACTAACCCTGGTACCAAAACCTGGCTCTTCATCATACAGATTTCTGTTTTTTTCTTATATAACAACTTCAGATCAAATTAATCACTGCAAGATAATTCATATTAAATCGTGTACATTCTTTAGAAAATTGTGACTGAATATAAAATTATTTAACACTATCATGCAGGATTTTGACAAAACACATGTATTACACTAATCTTTTAAGAGTTAAAAAAAAGGCATATGAAAAGAACCAAATCTATATAAAAGCAAATGGT